GAGGCGACACCAAAAAGCTTCACAGCAAGTGTCTGTCTGCAACCACGATCTCACCTAAAGGAAGCCACGGCCACGTGTCAGAGCAGGGAAGGTGGCTGCGGGTCGTGTTTGTCACCCGATGCGGAGTTTGTGAACGGAAGCAAAATTTTGCGAACGCTGCTGTTTGCGAACTGAATTGCTCGTGAACAGAAGCGTTCGTGAACCGAGGTATTACTGATATCAGGTTGCAGACTACATTTATTTCAGTCTTGCCTACCCTGGAATTTCCATGGCATGCAGTGGCACTCATGTCTGATATTTGTTGACGGTACGAAGAGTTGGACATGACTTAATGACTGAACAACAACAACAACAACAAAATGATCCTTTGGCTAGTAGGCTTCATTCGAATAATGTTTGCCCCTCTTTCCCCTAAAAGTGTAAGGAGCTACTGAGACATTTAACCTTTGAGCCCTGTGAGAATCAAGGAACAGTGAAATGAGTAAGGGGAGTCAGCATAAGACTATCGGGACTGACACGAGCCAACTGGAAGTAAGCAAAAAGTGAAATGGAGAGGCAGTCCTGTTGATTCCTAAGACATTTGGGGGTTCAGCAATGAGAAAAGGCAGGATGGTCTTGGACCAGCGTTAATACTGCTTTCCCCAACACAGGGAAGCTTGTGTCTCAGACGAATTTGCAAATATTTAAATGACCACATGGTAAAATAATCTTGGGATCCCTTGGGAGACAAGATCGATTGCTCAAAAGTGAAAGCTGATGCTTGCTCTGGATTTCTCTCTCTGCCTTCCCCTTTGTCCCCCCCTCCCCTGGTGCTCATTGCAAAAGGTGAATAATTCATTTCTCCCTGTCCTGCTTCCTGTTTTATTTCTGTCCGTGTAATGCTCTCCAGCCAAGGCTTGAATCATTCATAAGCTGCCTCCCCAGCTGCGGGGAGCTGTTTCCCGAAAGAGAAGGTTGGAAATCATAGGAAGTGGTTTGAAATGCAGCATAAAATTTCCATGGATATGAGAATGCATGGGGGGCAAATGTCTTATCAGCTCTGTTTCTGCAATTACAACTCCCTCCCTCCTGTTTTCTGGAGGAGCACAACCTATGAGGAAAGGAGTTAAAACCACTACTAGACGTGGAACTTTCCAAAAATTGCTGTACCACCCATGTCCCCATGCTCTTTCACCTGCAGATAACCGGTACTTGATACAGGAGCAAGCAGACCCCAGTTAGGGTGCGATGATGCTCAGGAGTTTTTGTGCCTGGTTTGCAAACAACTTTTGGAACAGCTCAGCCTTCTCAAAGCAGAAGCTTTCCAGATGTGTTGGATTGTAATTTCTGTAATTCCCAGGAGGGCTGAGAGAATAATAGAGAGATTTCGGTGTGCTGCTGTTCTCACTGCAGAACTGTGGGAGTCAGTGGCTAACAGGGTCAGTGCAGGTTTAATGAAATGCAGGTCATGTTTGGTTCAAGGAGCTGGGGGAATTGAGTTGGGGAGTTCCTGGTACAAAGCTCACCTCTGCCATGAATTTTGGAAAACCTCAGTCCTAGCATCACTACCTACAGTAATGGGATTTCAGTATAAGCGGTTATTTTATGGCAAGCTGATAATATATGTTTACATTTGTAAGTGTTAAGCTTCTCTTGCTAATAATTTTTGGGTCTTGGTGGGTTCTTAATATTGGCGGGACTAGGGTCTCACTTATCCTCCATTCTGTTTCAAAGCTGCATCCTCCTTCACGCAAATTATGCAGCACATTGTTAAAGATCTAAATGTGACCTGGTTTAGAGAAGGGGAAAAAATTCGTAGGCTTGCTTGTACTAGAATCCCCCTCCTGACTTGGTGGCCATATCAAATCTACCTCAATGTGTCCCGTATGCAAAAACACAGCCAAGGTGTCATTCTTACCTTGTCCTCCCTAAGTCCTACGTGGATGTCATTTTCCTTGGCAGGGCCTTCTGTGCTTCAGCAGTTCATAGCTGAAGAATGAAGAGTTTTCATCCTTTGCATTTATACTTACTGCTGCTATTTATTAATCATTTAATTGCTGCAATGTTATTCTGATGATACTAGGTTTGACTTCGTTGTTGTTGTATGTTCTCACCTTATTATAAGTTGCTTTGATCTGAGTTTGGAGAAACATGGGATATAAACTCATTTGCTTCAATACAAGATGGAGAAATAGCGGGTGGGTGGATAATGCCTTTCCATAGTTCAGTCACTAGGTGGCAATAGACCTCATTCTATTTCTGTGTAGTCAGGAGATACTTCTGCTCCGTACTTACTAGAACAAACAGTATGGCTGGCTGGATCCATTGTCCCTTGGTTGGTTGAACAAGCTACAATGGCCTGCTTCGTATATGACACTAAACTGAAAGTAAACAAACCATGTTATGGCAATTCCTGATGGAAATGCCACCATATTGCCTGATATATCGGGTTTCCCCAACCTGTAGATTTGCTCTTATAATAACCAAACATAACAATTACTGGCCATGCTAAATGGGATGATACCCATTCTCCAGGATGCCAGGTTGGAGAATGGGCACCATGGATGAAGAGCTAGCATAAGCCATGTCCTCCTCTCCTCGGTTTGAGTGAGAGGTGTGTCTGAGATATAGGAACTACATCAGTTGTTCCCAATGCTATGCTCTCCAAAAATATTGAGTTTACCATTGTCAGGGTTACTCCATGTCCTTTCAGAATTCTGGTGTGGAAACTGCTACAGCAATGGGATTGAGGAAGGCTTTCCATGGGCTGATGGTATATAGCAATTTTGTGGCCATGTGATACGGAGGTCAGTGAGGCTTCCCTTGATCAGGGATGGTGCCAGGAGGCCTGTGGTTGCCACCTTTTGCCCCAAGTGTGGTCCAACATCTTAACAATTGGCCGTTGGGAGAGCTGTGACCCCAAATGGTAATAAAGGGAACCACAGGAGAATTTAGGCCCCAAAGCGAATTTCAGTCATGGATCCTCTTCCTTGCCCTCCTGCTTAATAGCAGGATTTAGAAGAAAAACCTTGATGAGATGTGTCTCCTGACTCAGTTGTTCCAGGAATTGACCCAATTTTCCTCCTCCTCTTCCCCCTTTTTCAGGAGTCTCACAAGCCCTGATGGACATCTGACAACTTGCAGCCAGCGAGCTGGAAGAGCATGGTTAAACACCAGCCACTCCAGTATTATGAGCCCCAGTTGTGTTTGTCATGCCTGACGGGAATTTACGGCTGCCGATGGAAGCGGTACCAGCGGTCACATGATGACACCACCAAGGTGAGTCCCTGGTGCGCCAGGATGGCCGTTTTGAATTGGTGAGTCCTGAAGTCTGGACCCAAGACCTTGATTTGCAGTTTGTTATGACCTGGGAACAGAAGCTGGGTTGTAGTTAAGCAGCTTGTGAATATGGCTATCTGTCCCAGCTATTCCTGGATATTATGCAGAAATACATAAATGGAGTTGGTCCTCTTTTAGACTGTTGGAAAAAGAAGCATTGCTGTAGAAATCAGAGAGGAAATTGTAGTGTGTGATTGTGGTGTGTGTATTTAAGACAGAATTGGGTATATGAGTTATTGATTAAGAGAGCCATGTGAAATATCCAGGTTTGGAGGCAGTATTCTAGTTATAAGAACAACAACAAAAAAAATTGGTTTATGTTTATGTTGATTTCCTAAGCATTTGACTAGTTGTGGATATTGCTAGAGAACCAGACTGAAGTTCAGGCTAGCAATCGTATTCTCCTTACCTGGGTGGTTCAGGAAAAGAGGAGGAAGGTCACTTTATGACAGATTTCATACTAGTTTGAGTAGTTTATAAAACTCTTTTCTGTCCCATGGCAAATCATATGCGTGCATTTCACAGCATGACCTGTTCCTGTGAAATGCATCCTCCCACCCAATTTAGCGGTTTCAAAGTTGTGGAAGGCAGTTTCAGCAGTCAGGTGAAAATGTTTGCCCATTCCAAGTGACGGTAAGAAAGAAAACCCCTCACTCTGATCTGGCTTTGAGCTACAGTTATATAACAAGATCTGCTGGCAGCCGGTTGATTAGTTATCCTTGTACTCTATATAGGATCCCTGCTTGTTTGGGGCTGCCTTGAAAAGAGTTTGGTTGATTTAATCAATACCAGGTGGTCCTCATTTAATAACTGTTTGAACTTACAACAGTGCTTAACGAGTGTTAGTTATGAACGGACCTTGTACTTATGGCTGTCACAGGGTCCCCACAATCATGTGATTGTGATTTGCAACCTTCCCTTTGGTTTTCCAGAAGCAAAGTCAAAGGGGAAGCTGGCAGGAAGTTCTGAGGTCCTCACTTAACAACGGTAACTGGGGACTGCCGGAACTGCCGTTGCTAAGTGGTCCGGTCACAGAGTTTTTTTGCCTTATGACCTCATTGCTTAACAACAGACTTTCTGGTCCCAATTAGCATCGTTAAAGAGAACTACCTGTAGTTTCTTAACAGGAAAATAAATGACTGAGTACACAGCAAGGGATGTGCCAAAAAATGATCAGCAAACATCGATTTTGTTCAATGTTTTCTTCCCAAATTCCCCTCTGGCGCACCTGCAGATTATGTTGGTTTTATAAATGGAGCTTATTGTTTTAATGTTCTTTGACTTTGAGTTTCCCTAGACGATCAAAAGTTTGCTCCTGGTGATGATAGAGTGGCTTAAGGAAGTTTTCATTCCAAGAGCTATAACGTTTCCTGCATTGTTAGCTGGAATTGCTGGTTCTGTTTGGCCTGCCATAATTTCTTAATTTTTGCCCGCTAAGGGTGAAGCTCCTTTTGGAAACCCCATCCCTGGAGTCTTCTTGCTGAAGCCCCGAGACACCCCTTGTATTAGATGCAAAACATTTCAAAATAGGAGGGGCTTCCTGGGATTTTTTTAACGACAAACTGGATTTTTTTAACGACAAACTAAAAACTGGAGCGGAGAGATTTATTATAATAGAAGCCAGAGTTTGAAAGCTCTTGTTTTTTAAAAATAAACAGTTAAGTCTCCTCTTTTCTCCTGGTGCTTCTTCACACAGCCTGGCCCTGATTTAATTAATATTTCAAGAGATCAGCAAGGAGATCTCTTCTCCTGCCTCTCAATTAATGGTAGCAATAAGAGGACACGGCGTATCAAGTAGTTACTGGACCAGAAAAGCAGCTTTTAATGTTTCCTTCCTACACTGAAAATGAGAGGAAGTTGCAGCTGATGAAAGCTGATGCCTTCGAATAAAATGTTTTAGTTGGAGAAGGCGCTACCGGACTCCTAATTTTTTTGCCACGATAGACTAATGCGGCTGTCCTCCTGCAACTTCTTATGCTAAATCTTCCTGTCCCACAGCGGGAGCCGGAGTCAAATGGAGCGAACAACCTGGAACTGGAGTTGCCATTTTCCAGAGCTGACACTCAGAAACCTGAATATTCGCTTTTGATCCCAAATAGACCCATAATCTAACCTCGCTCTCAATGCAGGATGCTCTATACCCCATTAGTTGCCGTGATAAATGTGCAACTAATTGTCTTAAAGCCCTGCAAGGCTGGCTGGGGAATTCTAGGAGCTGAAGTCCACACATCCTGGCTGGGGAATTCTGGGAACTGAAGTCCATATATGCTGGCTCGGGGATTCTGGGAGTTGAAGTCCACTCATCTTAAAGTTGCTTAGGTTGAAAAACACTGCTCTAAGGTCTGTGGGGGAACTTGTGAATGGGAGCTTTCAGGCTCCAAACTGCAGCCCTGCCGTTGGCAACCCTCTGGTTTCCAGGAGAGGCTGCCAGCTGCTAGCACCGCACGTTGACTCTGGTTGGCAGAGGAAAGAGGCAAAGCTGGCATTAGGTCAAAATGTGAACAGGTTTGGCGTCTGCTTTGCTGGCTGCATAATTTTGGGGTGGGTCTAGACTGCTGGGCATCGGGCACCCTTCACCCGCCTCTCCCTCACTTTCTACATCACTGGAAAGACTGCTTAGCTGTACGATCCTTCGAGATAATTCAGCTGGGGTGGTCCTGGGCATGGGCAGCTCTGGAGGTCGAACCCCGTGGCCTTGCTATGCCTCCTGCCTTCCCTTTTTCTTCTGGGCAATGTCATTGTCCCTGATCATTTCAGGGGCCGCCTCATTATTGCTCTCTTGCAAACTCAAAGCATCTTCCTCCCTATTCCTTTGGCCGGGCATCCAGGCTGGCATCTTTCTTCTCACTCAGCCCTTCTGTCCCAGAGGGAGAAGGCGAGCAAGCAAAGGGGACGGGGGTGAGGATGAGGAAGGAGCTGCTTTGGTGTTGCTTGTTGAACAGCACAGTGAGTGCAGATTGGAACACAATTTCTCATCATCAGATATGCCACCAGCATCTCCCTTGGTGCCCACAAGGCTCCTGGCCATACCAAACCATTGGAAAAGAGATTCTTTTCTTTGAAAAGTCACAATCTGGCATGAGTCAGCCCCACAAGGTCAACCAGACCAGGAAATCAGCTCCACAGGAAGACTAGAACTTCCTTCATTGAGATGGACTCCAAGAACAGGATCTTGCAGGAGCGCTTGTGCTGGGCCTCCATCTTCTCCTCATGCTCCGTTGAACCAGGGAGGGGTCTGCCTGAGCCGCTCCCAAATGGGATCTCACTTCTCAGGACTTAAGAACGTCTCAGCCCCCTTGGCTTAGGTGACCATTTTAGCACATCTCCATCAAGGTCTTTCTCCTTCTTTTCAACACATGTTGAAGGCACCCGTTTGTAGCGCCATATTTACTGGTAGCAGACCCAACCCTATTAGGTTGGTAGTAGAGAGTCCTGGAAGATCACTTGCCTTCTGCTCAAGAGGCATTGACTGATTGGCCGTACAGGCCGTGGCAGCCATTTTGTGAGTGTACCCACTCCCCAAATTCCCAGTGTGACTCCGCCCCAAAGAGATAACCTACTGCTAATATAAACCAATATGGGTTTCTTTTTCTGATCAACGTGGCCATGGGAATGGACGCATCCAGCACCCGGTGGTGTTCATTTATCCTTGAGTAGCCATATCTGTTCCTTAATATCTGCAACTAGAGAGAAATCTCCTTGTACAGAACTGAACGCTGACATCCTCATGGGTGACCTATCCATGTCTTAAAAACAGTAAAGTCCTGTTTTGGCCAAATGTTGAGCCAGCGGTCAGCTTCCCCATCTCTTCTCTTGCAGTGGTGGTCTGGCAGACCTTCTACTTCCAGACCTGGGGTCTCAGGTGTCTACCCTAATCTCTTTCAGTCTCATTGGTCATCTTTAATTTCAGCCGATAACAGAAGGTCCATTGTCTGCCTCCCAAAGAGTTTGCATCCTGGGTAGTTCAGAAATGTAATCCAAGAGGATTACTTAGCAGAACATGCCATTCCTTTGCTTCCCTTAAGAATTTTGGTTTTCTTAAGCCAAGAAATAACTCTTTTTAGGAGGCGTTTGAGTTTACCCTTCCGTACATTCATTTTTTGCCCTTCATGGCTGCTTCTGATCAAATAGCTCGGATTGAGTTTTGAACAATAGAAAAGCCTATCGGGCTTGTCCTGCAGACCTGGAATTGTGACGATGGATCTCATTAGGAGCAGCGGCCGTTCCTCAAACACGCTTTCAGTCTGTTGAAAATGATAATTTCTTGTCGTGGCTGCCGTCTGTGGCCTCTTTTTACGTAGGCGAAGGCCCCGAGGAAGCTGTAAAAAATTGCGCGCGTTTGAGGTTTGCTTAAAGGCTTGATCCCAATAAAAGAACAAAGTGCTTCTCATTAGTCCATGGTAGCCAAAAATCAGGTGATTTCTCTGATAGCACCTCTTCAGACTAGCAAATTTTAGTACAAGGCAGGAGCCTTTGTGAAGGTGCTCCCGGGCTCCTTCTGATAAAAGAGCAAAGGGCGGTTCTTTATCGGATGATGTTGGGGCAAAGGCTTGAATGCTCTTCCTTTCAAGGCGGCTTCATTTGGCCACGAGTGGTTTTTTTTTTTGATGGGGAAAAAGGGCAACAAACAGAGAAGGCCCTGGAAGCCGCGCTGCCCTTTTAAAAACCACTTTAATTGAATCATTAATGGCCTTCCTGAGAGCGGCGAATGACTCTGCTGGATGTGGCCTTCCCCCTGTTAGACGGGCCGTAGGAAATGTTTTAAGGATTTTGTCCAGTGCTTTGTCCCTAATTGCAACGGTTGATGAAAATCTGCCAGTTACACAAAATAATGTTCCCTCCACGCTGTGAAGAGTGCTTCCTTTTTTAAAGGACTGCTTTTGCAGTTGTTTTGCCACGGACAGATGCATCGTGCCACGATGTTGGTCCAAGAGCTGATTCTGACCGGCCATGAATAAAATAAGTACATTGAAAAGTCTGGGCTTAAAGAATTTGACCAATGTAGACAAACATGAAGTGAACCTATAACTATCCAAGAAATAAAGCAAATTAAACTTTGGGGAGGCCCCAGGTCCAGATGGGCTGATGAGCTCAATATTACAAAGAACTCGAGGAATTGTTGGAACCACTAAGAACCCAATGAATGAAAGTAGAGACAAAGATCATCCTGCCAGCATGGGAAGAAGGCATATCACTTGGATTTACAAAGAAGGGTACGATCTGGAGAAACCACAGTGATATAGACCAGTGTTTCTCAATCTCAGCAACTTTAAGATGTGTGGAGTTCAATTCCCAGAATTCCCCAGCCAGCATGGCTGGCTGGGGAATTCTGGGAGTTGAAGTCCACCCATGCTGGTTGGGGAATTTTGGAAGTTGAACTCCACCCATGCTGGTTGGGGAATGCTGGGAGTTGAGATCCACACATCTTAAAGTTGCAGAGGTTGAGAAACACTGGGATAGACCAATCTCTTGGCTGAAGGTAGACTTTTTACAACAACGTTAGCTGAACGACTCATGAAATTTGTTCCAGATGTAATACATATCAATCAATCAGATTAAATTCCGAAGAGGAACGTAAAGGAACCCAGCAGGTTTTTAATCAATACCATAAAATATCATTAAGAAAACAAAACATAGAAAGAAGGCTGCCAGCCCTGGCTTTAAGCTTCTCCAACGTGTGAAATGTCTCCAAAGCTGGTGGTGCCCGGCCAGTGTCTTTGGGCTCAGAAGCTAAGCAGGGTGAGGTGAGTGTTCGCCTGGGAGACCACAGGAAATTTCAAGTACCCAATGCAGCCTTTGCTTTCTGTTCTAAAAATGGCCCTCTGATGTTGATGAGGAATATTATTTGCATATTTTAAAGCTTAGCACAACATTTGGCATATGAAAATTCTTTGGCAGCTCTCCCACTTAACTTTAGATGAGCGGTAGGCAGCGGAGGGGAGGTGGGGGCGCGACGGTTGGGTGAACCTTCTTGCTGCAAGAGAGACGTTGAGGCAGGTTATTTATATGTTGGGCTGCCAGCCAAGACACCTTCCTTGTGTTCTGTTTTTGGCTCTGGCCTTCCCGTTCCAGAGAGATGTGAACTGGAATAAATCTACCCCAAGATTCATGACTGCAGGAACTCCTCTTTTAAATCAAGCCGAGGTTCTTTCCCCCTCGAAGGCTGGCATGCGCTGGAAACGCTTTGACATTCAGGGGCTTTGCGCGGTTCCTTGAGAGGCTGGCAGAGGAAAGAGCAATATTTTGTTTTTCTAAGGGCGCATTAGAAGATACTTAGAAGATGTGCACGGCTTGGAAAACTGCCAACCCCTAACCCGTGCCAGGTGGCCGAGCTGCTGGAAATAAAATGAATGCCTTCAGCCAGCCGAGGAGGGACGATCTCAGATGCTTCCTATAGGTTCCCCTTCCATGGGTGGACCACAAACCAATTATTTATAACCTGCCCCCCTTCGGGGTGAGGTCCAAGCCCAAGCCAAATTAACAAGTTAAAATTATTCCAAAGGCAATAAAATCACCGCGCCTTACGGCAGATTTGAAGTGCCGTAAAAATAACTCAGCTAGATGGCTGAATTGACTTCTTCGATCAGAGAAAAGACAATGTCAATGTTTGTTGCTGACCGGAAACCCCTTATAGACTTTTTGCAGGAAACAGAAAAAGATGAACTTAGGATTTAAGGCTTTGGTGATTAGACAGGGTAGATTATGGAAAGAAGAGAGTCATGTCGTAACCATAGAGTAAGAGGTACATTTATAATTGTATTTATAACGGCTGTAAAGAAGATTGGAAGTTACTTCTTTGTATCTTTTTTCTTTCTTTTATATTTTTCTTTTACTTCTTTCCCTTTTCTTGCACTCTTAGTTTTCTCTTTGATTTCTTTCTTTCTTTCTTTCTTTCTTTCTTTCTTTCTTTCTTTCTTTCTTTCTTTCTTTCTTTCTTTCTTTCTTTCTTTTTTCTTTTCTTATTTCTTTCTTTTCTTTCCTTATTTTATATTAGTTTCTATTAGTTTTTACCTTTTTTTTTTTTAATCTTTCTTTAATAAAATTATACAAAAAACTCCCACTTACACAGCGGTAAAATCGTAACCTCTCAACCTGATTACAACTACCCTCTGACTTTGCTCGTAAGATGGGCAGCAAAGCCGCTTGACCACCTCAGTGGACTCGCTGCCCTTTTCAACGTCTGCAGAGCACTGTCTCCACCCATCCGCCCTTCAGATAAAGTCCTCAAATCTCGGTTAACTGCATCCAAAGATGGGTGAAGCCTGATGTGTGAATTCTTCAAGGGGAGTGTCAGGACAGGCAAGATGGTGAATGCTCTGGATATTATCTTGCGTGTTTGACCCTGTTGTGCAGAGACGGCTGTGAGTTTTCCTGGGGGAATATGGCAACTGAGGGGCCCAGCTTGAGGGTTAGGAGCATAAGATAGGTGGTCTCCTCCTTCTCCTTCTCCTTCTCCTTCTCCTTCTCCTTCTCCTTCTCCTTCTCCTTCTCCTTCTCCTTCTCCTTCTCCTTCTCCTTCTCCTTCTCCTTCTCCTT